AGCGAAGGTCCCTGGTTTAAATCCTGGTGGTGACAGTCAATTTTTTCTTCAGACCTTGTTTGTGTCTTTCCCTCTAACCAGTGAATATTACTGTTAGCTTCGTACTTTGAGTGATTATCACTTACAGTTACATGTACTTGATAATTTCTTAGCGCATGAAAATCGGAGTCGGTACCACAATATTCCTCCCTCACTATATGAGTCTATAGTCTGTTTCAAAAAGATTAGCAATCAGGTTTTGGTCTTAAAAAGTATGAAGATAAGGGAAAATTGGACAACGAAGTACATAAAAGGGCTGGTTAGGGCACGGCAAATTGTTCTGTGAAGGTTTCGGAACAATTGGACCAGCCGTTAAGGAGTTAGAATTTCGGCCAGGTTTCCGGCCTTTTCCCATGGTTTGCAATTTGCCCTGGAAGCCAGTATCGATTTTTCTATCAAAACCCACGATTTATCTTTTCCTTTCTGGCCTTGTGGTTATGGATGCTGTCTGCTGACCATGAAGTTGTGAGTTCAAATCCCAACCTATCTTCAACTCACACTTTTTTTCATTGTTTTTTGGTGATCAAGCAGACTTGTCATGTTGTTCACGATTGTTGTTGTTGGAGCTCCCGCATCCTCCCGAATTAACTGACACTTGACTGGCTCACGCCATGTGAACACACCCACAACACTGAAACGGTGTGAGTGAATACGGAAGTCATTGCGCTGTAGCTACAGTACGTGTTGAATACACCGGCACATCGATCGATCGATTTCTTTTTGAGAATTATTTTAGTATTTCAAGATCGCCAATATATTTGAATTAATTTAGAAGTCAACGCCGTCTTCTATCAGCTTCCACAGGCGTCTGCTTTTCTCAAAATGTTGTCGAAGTCATACGGATACCTTCGCCAAGTCATGGCCTTGGCAATGAGTCTGTGTCGATGTCGCTTTCGTCATATGGTGAGAGTAAATTGCATCGCAGCTCAAAGAAACTATTTGGTCACAAAACATATTAGGACCCATGCCGCTCGTCAGCCTTGGCATTTACTACACTTTCGACATGGCCTCTCTGACTCTATAATCGATACGAGGAAGAACTCGTTTGTTGTGAACCAGACGACTGACGACTGTACCGACATCGACCTGAGTGAGTTGTCATTTTTCATGCTTTCGCGCGGAATATTTCTTCGAGTTCACAGTGAGTTTTTCCAGGCAGCGCTCGAGCGCTCATACGGTAAGACGGCAAACTCCCCGGGCGATCACCAGGATTGCTAATCTTTTTGAAACTGACTGTAGATACTTTGAATGTGGAACAGGGTCCAGGACAGGATCGTCTGCTCTATCCGAATTATGGCCTGGTTGCAATTTGTCTATTTACCAGCAGGTACATCGCACCAGGGAGTCATAGCACCTACACTGTAGGGAGACTACACAATACTTTATAGAATTTTGGGTCAGGATTTGGAGGTTCTCCGTGATCTGTGCAACCCGCGATCACGGCCTTGACCTACTGACCCTGAGAACGGCCCAGATTAGCAATGCCATGTACGAGCGTGTATAGATCTGCCCAATGTTACCCCAGGGGTGGCTGAAACAGGAACCCCTGGGTCGAACCCCATGTCATTATTTTAGCTTTACAGTCGCCTGTGCCGTCTACCTAGATGCTACAACTCCCTGCATTGCACCCAGTAAATGCAGCACATCAAGTATTCAGCCATGTAGTGTTGGTTGTCACGTGTTCTGATCGTGTGATATCACAAACAATCTTCTACGGTCCATTCATTTTAACCTGGCACTTTAGGGGCCGTCCATAATTATCTATCTTTAACACGAAACGAGAAAAAAATCGTTCATGGGCGGGTGGGTCAAGAAGGGTTTCGTAATGAAAAATATTGATAGCTGAAACACTAGTCCATTCCAGCTATTCCTCGTTGAGGGGTGAGTAGGTGGGGGTGGGGGACGGTCACAAGTTACTCAAAACTAAACTTTTCATTTCGTGAAAGTTATCAATAATGCCAGGTCCATAATTGTCGATCTTTTACACGAAGAGAAAAAGTTTCGTTTGTGGGTGGGTCAAGGGGAGTTTCGTTTCGAAAAAATATTGATATTACAGACATCAATCGGGGGGGGGGGGGGTGTTGGGTGGGTGGAGGAGGGTCCTTCTTTCATTTACTGAAAATTATCGATAATGCTGGATAGCTCCTTAATAGTCAATGCAATAAAATAGTTGTTTTCTTTGTACAGTACCGTAAAGTTTAAACAATATCCGGCCAGGTTTGAACCGAACATTTTTTCAAAAGGTCATTTCTCAAATGTTGGCTTGAGTACGTTCTCAGCAACATAGCGGGCCAGTTTCAAATAATTGGACTGCAAACTTGCATCGCTGGTTGTTTCAGCTCCATCACAGGTCGTATTATAGCAATAAAAACTGCTTTATGGCAGTTTTCTAAAAAAAGTTATTGTGTTCTAGTCCATGGACCCCGTCTAAAAAGTAAGAAATTAACGAAATGTGGTAGCTGAAAATTAAAATTTCACACAAAACCTCACAATAATCACAACACTTGAAATGCTGCTTTCAACACTAAACTTGTACTGCACCAACAATTGGCAACATGCATGCATAGGAAAGAGGATCACGAGGGGAAAAGGTCTTCTGCATGTAGCTTTTCATTCTGTGTGTGATTATTGTGAGGTTTTGTGTGAAATTTTAATTTTCAGCTACCACATTTCGTTAATTTCTTACTTTTTAGACGGGGTCCATGGACTAGAACACAATAACTTTTTTTAGAAAACTGCCATAAAGCAGTTTTTATTGCTATAATTTCTTTTGTTTTTTCTGTCACCAATCAATGGAATGCCCTATTATGGCTATATCAATATGTAAATGATGGCCTTCACATCATATCAATACCATAATAATAATTATAATGATATACGCATTGATGTGCAAGCATTTTCTTGCAGAAAATGGCACTAGCATAATGCATGTTCTTCTGCGGGGAAACATGTGAGCAGTGGTGGTGATACTTTTTTTATACGGAGGTCATTCTGTGCATGTTGCTGTTGCAGAATTTCATGACTCTGTCATAAATTGTCTTGCCTTTCAGATTTCTCCACCCTCAATCAGATTTATTTGAGAAATGTAGCCATGCGCCAGGTGCGTGTCACAGATGTTTTTGTTGATTCTGTGTTTATAATGGTTTATAGTCATGGGTTATCGTGATAAGGTCATCCAGCATCATATTGAAACTGAAATCGTAATCCTGTTGATGTCGATACAACTTTTGGAAGTAGTTCAATGACTTCAAACTGTTAGTCCACGATTGTCTAAAACAACACAGCAAAGGAGGAACAATAAACATGTATTAAAATGTAAACGAATACATTGCTGAGTCCAAAACCTCGTTCCAACAACTACACTGATCCTGAGGAGAAAAGGGGCAAGGCTATGGTTGGAGGTACTGAGAGATAAACAAGGCACTCCACAATAATAAAATCTTACACATATTTTGGTGAGTATGAATGATATCCAGTCGAACCTCTTTAGGACAAACACCAAGGGAGCGATGGTATTTATTCTGTGAGCTTAGCCTATTTTATAACCAGAGAATACAAATATATCTCCAATAGACATACGAATAGATTTCTTCTACAGCGAAAGATTCTAAGCCACACCGACTCATTGACTCGTCTCGTATGAAACAATTGAGTCACTAGAGAGATTCTGCAAAACGAAAATGCGTACAAACTTTCGCTCTACATCATGAACTGCGAAACTTCGCACCTTTGGACGCGAAACTTGCAGGGAACGCGAAATGAACTGTCGTAGGAAATTTCGTGAGATCGGGTCATGGCGTACGTGCACTTGGCCCGCGCAAACTACGATAATGTGCAGAACGCAAAGTTCGTGCAAAACTTCGTACACACTTTCGCAAGGACTGTCACGAAACTTCGTTCGAATTTTCGTTTTGCAGAACCTCTCTACTGAAACTTTCTTTAGCAACATGACGGCAAGTGAAACAGCAACAGAGAAAGTACGATACATGCACTCCACATTCTTACAGGTACTACAAACAGATTGCAGGTCGTAATTCTTGCTTTGGCGGCACGAAACTATATTTGGGGCAGTGCAATCTCGGCGGTACTCACAAATTAAACAGCCCCGACTTGAGTAGACAAATCCAATCATACAAGTACGAGATTTTCACGAGACGAGACTGCACCCATTGGCTTGTTTCGTATGAAACAAACAAGTTACTGAACCTCTCCACAATAGAGATTTCCCCTGATATGCGAATTTATTTTGCAAACTCGGTCAATTGGTACTTGAACCTTTCCCTCCAGATTGGGAACTGCCAACGATAGTATGCCACTGACCAGTGCCTTACTTGTAACGTACCAATGTAGAATCTACAATGAATATGAGTATTTCGACAACACGTCTAACATAAGCCTTACCGTCAAGAAGTTGAACTCGCGTTCTTCGCACACTGTAGACAAGGGCAAAGAGATAAAAATGGATCTAAATCCGAATAAAATCAGCACACGTTTCCGTAAATGAAAGGTGAACATAAGCAAATGAATCGAAGGAAACCGGTCAACTTAGAGATCACCTGTCACGACGTTGACATGATGTTCAACGTCATGAGATTATTTGCAGTACACGTCATAGTTTGTGTTCTCTACCCCGGTTTGTTTCCGCGTTCCCACACCGAAGCGGGGCCGCGTGTTTATTATTTCTACTGACTCACTCGCCTCTTGGCGACTTCCTCCATGTTTTTTCCTCCTTTTTTGCTCTGCGCAAGCGCCTTGCGCTTTAGTCGTCGTCTTCTTTCAGTTCACAGCAAGAACAATAATTTTACCTCTTGTGCAGTGTCAGTCAAATTCAGTCAAATCAAGCTCTCCCGATCCCAAGAAACTGTCTGGCGTGTGCACAAAGTGGTGCCGAAACCCGGGAAAGATAGACTCGACTCAAATAATTTGTAAGCAGCTTGCCCGATTTGGGTCGTCGAGCTAACATGCCGAAGAGAGCAGTGACGACCGCGACCGGCACGCAGATCATGCGCCGGGCCAAGATCGCGCAGCTGCAAGGATCCATCGACGAACTCGTCAAAGAGGCCGAACTCCTTTTATCGAAGGAAGGAGGTCAAAGGGCCGACGAGTTGTCGCCAGAACACGTGGACTCGGATCCAAAAAAGCTAAGTACACTTGTGGATTGTATTGTTGAAGAATTGTACGCATATGATGAGGCGTGTGATGCATTGGCCAGTGTTTTGGACTCGGAGACTCTGGAGGGTTCAGATGAGGCTCTGCAAACGGAGATCTGCGATGTGGTTGCGTATTCGGTACGCATCAGAGGGTCAATTGTTGAATGCAAGCGATCTCCGCAGTACAGAGCCCAGACGAACCGTCCAGAAGCTGCTACTACTAGTACTAGCTCACCAAGTAGCACCAAGAGTACGGGCAGTGCGGGTATCAAACAAGAAACTAGTATGGTTGATTTGTCCAGCATCCAACAGTCAATAGGAGATCTTGTTCGTACGCAGTCTATTACACATAGTCAACACCAGCAAGTATTACAGTCGCAAGAGGATCTAATCAAACAACACCAACTAGTCGTACAACACATGCAAGCATCATCACCTCAACCACAACCAGCTCCCACAAGTTCAGTCAATTTGCCCAAATTTGAAATACCAACATTTTCTGGTGATTTCCTGAAATGGGCTGAGTTTCACGATATGTTTGTTGCGTCTATTGATGCGAATCAAGGGTTGTCGGGTGTCCAGAAACTGTCGTACCTAAGAGATCACGTAACGGGTTTGGCTCGGGATGCCATAGCTGGCTTGCCCATATCAGATACCAACTACACAACCGCGCTTGACATTCTCCGCAAACGTTTCGGGAATGATCAGCTTCGCGTCAATGCACACTACACGGCAATCATGGACTTACCGCCTGCGTCCAACGCTACTCCATCTTTGCGTAGGTTGCACGATGCGTTGGAGGTGCACTTGCGAAGCCTCACAGCGCTTGGTGAGAATGTTAATCAGGCGGTGTTTGTGTCAATGATTACGAACAAATTGCCACGCACCACGCTAGCGGCTTTGGAATTAAAAAAGGGGCCACAATCCTGGACCGTTTCGGACTTGCGCGCTGCAGTAGCCAACTTCATAATAGCGAATGAAGCAGCAGATCGCCTCAGCCAGCCACCGAAAAAATCGCACGAATCACCATCTGCCAGTGCGTCCGGTCAATCTCTTGTTGCCTCAGCTTCAGCTACTTCAAAAGCGAAGCCCAAGAGAGTGTGTGTTTTTTGCAGTTCGGAGGCACATTTCTCTGACGAATGCAATAAGTACACTACAGTAGAAGCGAGGAAGAGCGTAGCTAAACAAAGGTGTTTCAAGTGTTTGCGATCAGGCCACTCCGTGCACGATTGCTCTAGCAAACGGCGGTGTTTCTATTGCCACAATCCTGCACACCACAGCAGCTTGTGTCCAGATAAATTCACTGCCGCATCCACTCAGAGGCAAGCTTCCACTATGAGCCCGAATGCTCAGTCCTTCAAACCCAAGCCTGCCACGAGCACGGTCGCAAACGCCGATCACCAGATCATGATGCAAACTGCTGTGGCACCGTTTCTCTCCTCCAAGCTGAAGCCGATCAATGGCCGTATTCTCTTTGATACCGGCTCCACCAAGACATACATCACGCAAGCTTATCGAGATCAGCTCGATTTGCCCACAATCGGAAATGAAACACTCTCCTTGGCTACATTTGGGAACAACAAAAGAAAAAGTACCGTGTACGCCAAGGTGAGTTTGACCATGCAGTGTAAGGATGGGTCCACTCGTGCGATTCAGGCCAGTGTACTTCCGAACATAACCGCTCCAATTGCGCGATGTCCACTTGCTTCTTCTTTTCCTCTTCTACAGTCTCTGCCACTTGCAGAACCGCTCTCCAGCAGCGCAGAGCCCATGGTCGTAGACGTCTTGATTGGTCTCGATCACTATTATGATATTATCGGCAAGGACCGCACCGAACTAAGCGGTGGTCTGGTCTTGCTCGACTCCGTTCTTGGTTTTATCTGTACCGGCAGTCTGCCTGTGCCTGCCACCACAGAGGCGCAGTCATGTCTTGCTCATCAAACAGACACGGACCCTGAATTCGACCTCCGTAAGTTCTGGTCGACAGAGAGCTTGGGTACTTTTGACGATACGTCGTCGCAAGATCTTGTGGGCGAGCGCTTCGCCAACTCCATCTCCTTTGCCGAGGGTCGGTACGCGGTGAGTTGGCCCTGGAGGGACTCACATCCTCCTCTTCCGACAAACTACGGTCTGGCTTTCGGTCGCCTGAAGGCACAAGTGCGTCGCCTCGAAGCCCATCCGGAACTTCTTGACCAGTACGATACCGTGATTCAAGACCAGCTTGACAGGGGCATGATAGAAGATGTTCCTCGTGGTTTTACAACCAACCAGATTCACTACCTTCCACACCATTCAGTACTCAAACCTACTGCTACTACCACGAAGCTGAGGGTAGTGTATGATGCGTCCGCAAAATGTTCCGAAAAACTCGCCAGTCTCAACGACTGCTTGCACGCTGGCCCCAATCTTGTTCCAGACCTTTGCGGTATTCTTCTTCGTTTTCGTCTTTCTCCGGTAGCCATAAGTGGAGACGTAGAAAAGGCCTTTCTGCAGATTGGTCTGCACTCACATGATCGTGACGTGACCCGCTTCCTATGGCTGCACGATGCATCCAGCTCAGCTACTCCAGACAACATACGACAACTTCGTTTCTGTCGTGTTCCGTTTGGCGTTGTCAGCAGTCCATATCTCTTGGCTGCCACTATTCAGCATCATCTTAGCGCTGCTGATACAACAGATTCCGACCTAGTGTCTCGCAATATTTACGTTGACAACCTGTTCCTTGGTGCCAACTCTGGGACGGAGGCGATTGCTATCTATGATGCCACGAAGCGCCTCTTCAGTGTTGCGTCTATGAATGTTCGCGAGTGGTCTAGTAATTCTGCAGAGTTTCTTAGCAGCATTCCAGAACCAGACCGAGCCAAGGGTACTATCCACAAGTGCCTCGGTATGCTGTGGGATACAGAACATGATACTCTACATATTGCACCTGTCAGTGCCGTATCCAAGTCGGCCACAACGAAGCGGAGTATCCTTCGACATACTGCCCAATTCTTTGACCCCCTTGGTCTCCAGTCTCCTGTTCTTGTTGGTGCGAAGATTCTGCTTCAGGATCTTTGGAAGCTGAACGTCGGCTGGGACGACGACCTTCCACAAGACATCATTTGTAGATGGTGTGATATTGCGGCTCAACTTGAACTTGCTGCATCAACGAAATGTCCACGATTCATCAGTGCACCACGTGCCAGCGACGCTCGGTTTTCTCTCCACGTCTTCAGCGACGCATCTGGGCTGGCTTACGGTGCCGTTGCTTACCTTACTACTACGTTTGACGATCAACACACGTCGAACCTTCTAATCAGCAAGTCCCGTGTTGCACCTGTTGCTTCACCTACCATTCCACGTCTGGAATTAATGGCCGCGCTTCTCGGTGTTCGTCTGATCCAATTCGTCCGTCGGGAACTTCCGCTCACTTTCTCCTCTACCTTTCTATGGTCAGACTCCACCACAGTTCTCCATTGGCTGGCCTCTTCTGACAAACTACCTGTCTTCGTCAACAACCGTATTGATGCCATTCGTGCGGTTCCCGATGTTGCCTATCGCTATGTCCGCTCTGCCGACAATCCCGCCGACTTGCCTTCACGCGGTGTCTCTGTTCCTTCCCTTCAAGCCAGCTCGCTATGGTGGCACGGTCCACACTTCCTTGCCACTGCTGACCATCACGCCGAGCCAGCACTTGATCACCATGTCAACGTTGCCGCTGGGGAGGGTCCTTCAAGCACTTCGGAGATACCTGCACCTGTATCACACCCAACAGAGTCCACCGGTCCAGACACTGAGCTTGCACACGAAATGAAAAAAAAGCCTGATGCGCATCACGAACAAAAAAAAACATGTGATGAACCACCATTTGGTATTGATTGTGCCAGGTTTTCGTCTTTCAGTGCCTTAGTGCGTGTTTCTGCTCTGTGTTTGCGGTTTCTCTCCAGGTTGAGACCACAAGGCGGCAAGTCCTTCGGGGTGGATTCTAGTTGTAACTCAGAGGTCAAGGTAGCCAAAATCATGTGGCTACACCATGCACAACAGAATCTGTCAGACGTCAGTGCTGTCGAAAATTGTAAGAAGCACAGCCCGAAGGACAAGCTGCGGCTCTTCCTCGATGAGAACCGCCTCATCAGATGCAGAGGACGCTTGGAGAACGCCGAACTTTGCTATCAAGCAAAGTATCCAGTACTGATTCCCCAAACGCATCCCATCACCCAGCTCATCATCAACGATTGTCACCTGATGACGATGCATGGCGGCGTTGCACACACGCTATCAAGACTGCGTTACGAGTACTGGTTACCACGAGGGCGTGCAACAGTGAAGTCATTCATCACTAAGTGCCTGACTTGCCGGAAGCACCACGGTGGTCCATACCGCACCCCAGATATGGCCCCGCTTCCATCTGCCCGCGCAACAAGATCTATCCCGTTCACCCATGTGGGACTAGATTACTTCGGTCCTCTGCTCGTCAAGCACCAGCCAAGTACCAAGAAGGTATGGGTCCTCCTAGTGACATGTATGGCAACTAGAGCTGTCCATCTAGAACTGGTGGCAGACATGACCACAGAGGAATTCCTGCTAGCGTTCCGCAGGTTCGTGTCGTTGCGTGGTTGCCCTGAAGAGGTAGTGTCTGACAACGCGCCACAATTCATCCTAGCTAAGTCTGTTCTGGATGTGGCCTTTGAAGAAATGGCAACGAGTGATGATGTCCTGTCGTACATGTCGAGGACTGGTGTGAAGTGGCACTATAACCCACCGATCTCACCTTGGATGGGTGGTTTCTACGAGCGTCTCGTTGGAACAGTCAAACGAAGCCTGAAGAAGGTCGTTGGCCGCGCGCTCCTCACTGTGTCGCAACTGACTACCATTCTCATGGAAGTGTCAGCAGTCGTCAACTCGCGTCCACTGGTGTACGTGGACAATGACTTGCAGGAGATACTCACCCCAAGTCATTTTCTGTGCCTGTCCGCAACTACTGGTGGCGTGCAACCCACTGCTGATGACGGCGATCCGGACCACATCGAAGTTCCGACTGCAGCTCAGAATCTTCTCTCTGTCTGGAAGAAGGGTCAACGAACATTGGACCAGTTCTGGCGTGTCTGGCGAGACGACTACTTGGCTGATCTCCGCAACAGTCACACTCGGAAGCTCCGACAGGCACGCGTTACCGCTTCAGAACAGCCAGCCGTTGACGATGTTGTACTAATAAGGGATGACATGCCCCGTGGCTCATGGCGACTTGGTCGCATTGTCGCTCTCCATACAAGCAAGGACATGGAGATACGTTCCGCAACCGTCATCACTGCAGAGAAGACAGAGCTCAAACGACCCCTGTCTCTCCTGTACCCTATCTGTCCTGCTGCTAACTCCGAGGCTAACAACAACAGCACCGCTCCGGACACACACACCACTGGCCAAGCCGATCTGCCAGTTCCAGCAGCTGTTGCTCCACCCAGTCGTCCACAACGTGCTGCCGCTAAGAAGCAACGTCAGACGCTTCGCCAATTAATTGGCAGCGAACTTGTTTAGTTGAATCAGCTAGACAGTTGGTAGTTCACATCTGAACTCTCTCTTTCTCTCTCTCTCTCTCTCTCTCTCTCTGTGTGTGACGGTCTACTCTCTTTCACCCTTGCGTAATATATGCACTTATTGTGTTTTGTTTCCACGTTACTTTGTTACGAATTATCTCCTTTTCTCTGCATCTCTTGCGGGGGAGTGTCACGACGTTGACATGATGTTCAACGTCATGAGATTATTTGCAGTACACGTCATAGTTTGTGTTCTCTACCCCGGTTTGTTTCCGCGTTCCCACACCGAAGCGGGGCCGCGTGTTTATTATTTCTACTGACTCACTCGCCTCTTGGCGACTTCCTCCATGTTTTTTCCTCCTTTTTTGCTCTGCGCAAGCGCCTTGCGCTTTAGTCGTCGTCTTCTTTCAGTTCACAGCAAGAACAATAATTTTACCTCTTGTGCAGTGTCAGTCAAATTCAGTCAAATCAAGCTCTCCCGATCCCAAGAAACTGTCTGGCGTGTGCACATCACCTGTCATCGAGTATTCCGTAAAAGGACGCCTCGCAGCTCGGCAGCAGAAAAGTAAAATTTAGAAAAGAGATCCTGTCAACTTTTCCATTATTTATTGCATTCCGCCCCAAAATCAGCACACTTTTCCTGAATGAAACAGTCAACACAAGCAAATGAATCAAAGGCAACTGGTCAACTCACCTGTCATTGAGTAATATTCCGCGAAAGGAGGTCTCAGCAGCGCCGAAACGAAATAAGCCAGGCCATGAGACGAAATATCCGAAACAGCTCATGCAAGAAGCAGTTCCAAAGAAGGAAGTTAGTTCCTCGCGCATGGACATCCGAACACGGATCCGCGGTAGGGCTGACCCGAATTTGCCAGCTGAATCTCGATATTTTGCGGCATAATTTTGCTCGTGCATCGTCGAAATTTTGCTTTCATTTTGCTAGGCCACTCGATATTTTGCTCCCTTTTTGCTCCAAAATTTGTGTCACGTGTGAGAAAACTGACCGAAAGTGGGTTACGTGTTGGCAAAAATGAGAAAAAGTGAGTCACGTGTTGGTAAAACTGTGCCGAAATGAGTCATGTGCACCGTATTATGTGTAAAATCTCCCAATTCCCAGCCAACACACCGATATTTTGCTCCATTTTGCCAGCAAATTCCCTTTCAAAATTCTTCGATATTTTGCTAGAAGAATTGCTAGCAAATTCGGGTCTGCCCTAATCCGCGGACTGCATGCACTGAACACAATGTCTGCCGTGCACGTGCACAGCACACGGCTACCACGCGTTGGTAGATCTAATACCGAGCACCTTACGTAGAGACTTACGTAGCCTAAGTGAAATATCGAGCACCTTACGTAGAAACTTACGTAGCATAGCGATGTCGTTTTTTCTGCCATGTGAACACAATAATAGAAAAGCTGACAGGATCGCTTTTCTAAATCACGGGAAATTGAGTCCAGCTCCACTTCTAGGTTGGGTGACACGCAGGGGCGTAGCACCCGCTACGACTGGTACGACCATGGCCGTACCACTTTTCGAAAAGTGTGGTCCGTCCGGAACGTGCCAAACCGTAATAAAAAATCAGGATCCATCAATGCATATATGCGCATCAGACTTTGACCTTTTTCTAGACTCGTACTCGTAGATCGGCCATGCATCTGTGCATGTCCTTGCACGTCTCTTCTGACCGTGAAATAATTCTATGACTTTATAAACTGTGCAAGAAGTTCCCAGAACGCATGATTTTGTGTCTTTTTTACAAAATTTTCCCGGGGTACGTCCCCCGGACCCCCTCCAAAATGGCCTTCGCCCGCGCCGACCTTCTGTGGTACCACTTCCAAAACCCCTCCTACGCCCCTGACACGTGATGGGCATCACTTCCTGCATGCTGGCTGTGCATGTGACTCAAGAGCTCTGGCTGGCAAGCAGTTTTAGACTGCAGGTGCAATACAAGATTTTTCTGTGATGTGCTATGCATTGTGCATTGCATTTCTCGAGAGACACTTCACGCTATGTGAAAAAAAGAATTTCGCTCGATGTGGTATTGTGCATCGTGCAGTGCAACTTTCCCACAAAACTGGACTCAAAGCACCTTATAGCTGTGGTTTACAGCAAAGATTTTCCTATTTGCGACTCCTGGTTTAATGGGTGCAGTAGTGTGCATGTGCCTGGTGATATTGTTGCAATGGATCATAGTGAGGGCGTAGCAGTACTTGTGCACTGATAGTTGGTAATGGCATGAGTACATAACCAAGAGTGGGCAACTCGATGATCCCTCTGCCCACGGCAGAAAGTTTCATCACCTCGGTTTTTGTGGGCCATTGGGCTCACTAACACCATCATGCGTAGCCAGAGATCAAAACGTGTACATCACAGCTACGGTAGTTGAAGCAGAACAATGAACTGTGGATCCATGCCTGCTGAACCTGATGAAACACTCTATCTACATGGCACATGTAGAAATATATGCGCGCTTGCTCATAATCATTGGATTTCGAAGCCGATCGTACCTTATGTTAGTAGTTGCACATTCTTAGCACTTATGTAGTTTGATAATAACGTTTAGATTATCAATGCTGGTGGAAACGTTATGCTGGTTGCATATTTTGTACCCGGTGTGCCATGACCAGGCATGCTAATTCATCGGATATTAGCAAGTTTGATTGCCTGCTGAGTGTTGGTTCTTAGCTTCACTGTACTACAAATACGATATGCTTAGTTTTCCTAAATTGCTTCTTTATAACATTCAGTTTGTTTTGCTGCAATCTTTTCATGTGTTTTGCAGGATTGTAGCCAAGGGTAAATACCAGTATCATGAGCGAAGGTCTCTGAGAACCCATGCCTGAAAGCTGGTCATGTTGGTCCAACAATGACTTTCATTGCCTGTATCCGCCACCTTCATACTGGAATGAACTGGAACATGTGGAATTCTCATGTGGAAGGACGGAACAGATTGTGTGTCTGTCTTTGTGGATCACCGAAGGCTGAACAGTACAGTTGGAAGAATATTGGATCTCACGAAGTGACTGAATCTGAAGCGGCTGACATGCATCTGCACAGCACTTTCTTTCTGAGATTTGCTTCAAGGCAGGTTATTGTGTACAATTTTGTCCACAGTATTCCTATATTTGCCAAACGTATTTCTCTGATAGTATTGTGACTACACACGCGCAGTGATCTCTCCGTCATCGGTCTTTCGCAATGATGTGGCTCACTGATGACAGCATGCATAGCCATAGATCAAATGAGCAGCTACGGTAGTTGAAGCAGAAAAATGGATCAATGCATCCTGAACCTGGTGTACTGCCTATATGCACTCTCAGTAGTATTTGTAACGTGTTAACTATGAAGTATCAACATTGCTTCTCTTCTATGTGGGTGGTGTGAGTGATGTCAGATGGTCTGTACTGCCATGGCCGATGTTGTTCACGGGAAGATGTTGGGTTGGGCCATTGTGCCCTCTTGCAATATGCTGTTGCAGCCTGAAGGCAATGAAAAAGTTCGAATGCTGATCTGCTTTCAAGCGTAGAATGTCACAGTATGTGCATTACATATTTGCATAATTATGTTTTGTCCTGGAGTGTGAATGTGCGGCAAGGGCATGCACATGTAAAAATATCGCACTGCAAACACCCTAAAGCCCGATTCACAATACAACTTTCTGCGACGCGACACGCGGTTTGCGACAGTTGCGACAAGAAACTGCCTGTCGTGAGCTGTCGCACAGAAGTTGAAGAAAGTTCAACTTTTGCGACATGCGACATGCGACATACACAAATGGAGTACAGTTTCGACCCTGGGTGCACGTGCATAGTACTCCTTGTGCATGAGGATGTCGCAAACATGAAGAATATTGTGAACCGTGTGTCGCTGTCGCAGCTCGTCGCATGTGTCGCATGTCGCGTCGCAGAAAGTTGTATTGTGAATCGGCCTTTAAGGCCGATTCACAATACAACTTTCTGCGACGCGACATGCGACTTGCGACAATATTCTTCCTGTTTGCGACATCCTCATGCAGAAGTAGTACTATGCACGTGCACCCAGGGTCGAAACTGTACTCCATTTATGTATGTCGCGTGTCGCATGTCGCAAAAGTTGAACTTTCTTCAACTTGCGTCGCAGAAAGTTGTATTGTGAATCGGGCTTTAAGCGGGATTCACAGAAGCTTTTTTGCGATGCGACGCGATCTGCGATGGATGCGTGCGATGCGAACTCGCGAAATACCATTCACAGAAGAAGTCAGCTTTGCAACAAAGTCTTGCTGATTTGGGTACGTCACCATGATATTCGCGCGGTTTGATACAGCTTGTACAAAGTTATAGGCAACTCTTGAACCTTTGTACAACTTTGCTGTAGAAAAGGTCAAAATCGTACGCCAAATCGCTTGTCGCATCGCATCGCAAAAGTTGAGCCAAGCTCAACTTCTGCGATGGCCTGCGATGGCCCTGTTGCGGCAGTTGCGTGTGGTGCGACATGGCTGCGATTTGGGGTTTTCCCGGTTTCGCGTCTGTCGCATCGCGTGTCGCATCGCAAAAAAAGCTTCTGTGAATCCCGCTTTAAGGCCGATTCACAATACAACTTTCTGCGACGCGACATGCGACTTGCGACGCATGCGACGAGCTGCGACAGCGACACACGGTTCACAATATTCTTCATGTTTGCGACATCCTCATGCACAAGAAGTACTATGCACGTGCACTGCACGTACACTGCACGTGCACCCAGGGTCGAAACTGTACTCCATTTGTGTATGTCGCGTGTCGCATGCATGTCGCAAAAGTTGAACTTTCTTCAACTTCTGCGACAGGTGCATTGCGACAGCTTGCGACAGCTCGCGACAGGCAGTTTCTTGTCGCAACTGTCGCAAATCGCGTGTCGCGTCGCAGAAAGTTGTATTGTGAATCGGCCTTTAGAGTTCACGTGGTATGTGATAAGTACACTTTTGGAAAGTGCGTGCACAGTCGAATCATGTAATGTTAAAACAGCCTTCGTGCTCCTCCCT